TCACACCAACCTCTGATCTACAAAATATTTGTTCTTTCCCATTAAATCATGCTTAAACAATATTTTTCATGTCTCCTAATGCCTTATTTTTGGTTAATACAGATCTTATTTTGAACAAAACTCTTTCATGTTGCTTTTTCTATTCTCATGTTCTTTTTCATTTAGAGATTTAAGTTTTGTTTAAATCTGTATTAGCTTCTCCTGATGATGCACTAAGAAAAATTTAAAAATTTAATTTACTAAAACACAATTTAGCATGGTTTAACGCATTCTAAGATCTTTATTTTGATTAGTAAAAGGATATATGGGAAGAACTGTGAGGAGAGCAGACAGAGTGAGATTCATCTTTGTATATATTCTTCTTTCCTCCAAAGTTCCACTGCGGTAATGTGGAGGCAGACCCAGGTACATGCTGTACATGCAGTGGGTCTGTACCATAGTCGAGGAACACCAAGGGTCACTATTGCAAGCTGGCCTCATCTTGCTGCTTGAATTTTTGTTGATAGCAGCCTTAATTAAATACCGCTTGAGACACAGGAAATAGATTTGCTACCATCCTCTGTCAGTCAGATTCATTAGAGTGGCCAAAAAAGTGGTATATTCATAATAAAATTTACTGGAAGATGAGATAGGGTAGAAAGGAGGGGTAGCTGTTGTTGGTAGATGATTCTCCATGGGTCCCTCACATTTCTGCATATCTTGTTAACAGAGGCCCTGACAACTTTTGTTCTGGACTATTTTTTCAAGGATTTTTAAACAGTAAATAACTTTGGAAGGTATAGATAGTGTCTCCCTCTGAAGCAGAGAGCAGCTAGTTTGCCGTCCAGGATAACAAAATAATGTCTCTATCTGGGGCAAAGGTAGGGTAGATTTTCTTGCAGCCCATTCAAAACATTGAAATTTTCTAAGCTCAGGATTTTTTTGCTGTGACCCAAGGTCACTGTGTGCACAACATCCACCTGAATCTTCCTCTTTGTCACCCCTTTGGGACTTGAGAGGTAAGGAAAACCAACTAGAACTCCTTGTACTGGGTTGAGTAGTGTCCCTCAAAATATCATGTCTACCCAGAACGTCAGAATAGGACCTGATTTGGAAATAGAGTCTTTGCAATGTAATTAGTTAAGTTAAAATGAGGTCATACCGAATTATGGTGGGTCTTAAATCCAATCAATAGTGTTCTTTTTTTCTGTATTCTTGAAGTGTTTCATAATAAAAAAAATTTAGATATAGAAAGATGAGATTAAGAAGCAGAAATTAACAAATAGACAATATACCATAGAGGTAACCAAAACAATAAAAAGCTATGTTTTTGAAAAGACAAAAATATAATAATAACAATAGTCTGGAAAGGCAAATAAAGAAAGAGAAGAAGCAAAAAGATAAAGAATAAAAAAGGATATTAAGGATTAAAAAGGGTGTATAAATACAGATACTCATAATATTTATATTATACCTATAAAGGGATTTTAGATATAACAACTTGAAAACATATTAAATAGAGAATTTCCTAGGCAAATATATGTTAACAAATTTTACTATAAATATATAGCAAACATGAATATTTCATAGCTACTTAAAAATGTGAATCCATCAAAAATGCCCATCTCCCAAAGGCACCAAGTCCAGATGCTTTTAAGGCAAGTTTTATAAAACCTCCAATGAACTGATGATTCCTACATTGTACAAGTTATTCCAGGAAACAGAAAAAGGTGAAATTTCCCATTTATTTTACAAAGCCAGTACAATCTCAATATTCACACTAGACAAGTCCAGTACAAGAAAAAATTTATAGGCTGATCTTATAACTATACATGCAAAAACCCTATATAAAAAGTAACATATTGAATCTAATTATGTATAAAAATGACCAATAAGATTTATTTTAGGCATGCAAGAATGGTTCATCATCAGAAAAATCTATTGCTGTAATACACCCTACTAACACAATAAAGGGGAAAAACCTTGGATGTTTCCCTGCTACATGCAGAGAAGTGATTTGGTGATGCTTTACACATTTATGATTTAAACTTTGACCAAGGTGCTGAGGGGAGCTCCTCTGTGTCCCACCTATCACTTGCTTCCTCCCTGCCCCACCCCCCAGGCCTCAAGTTGGGTGCTGGCCCATTTGCAAATAACTAAAGGGCCAGGTGAAGGATGGGGTTACAGCTGTTTAATTGTTTAATTGGAAGTGGAAGAGGGATCATGTCCTACTTTATTCCCTTCCCAGAAAGGGGTAGGGAAACCAGGATCACACTCCTGTCCTGGCCACCGCTGCTGTCACTCATCGCATCGCGTTCACTTCCTCAAGAGTTTGGATAAATTCAGGTCAGAGCTGCAGGTACGCAGCTCTCCAGTTTCACAGAAAAGCAATTCACCAATGACTCCAGAAGCGTGCAGTCTTAACGTACGGAGACGAGACACTGTTACTTTATGATCTTTTAATTAAAAGCTTGATTAAAAACTAAAAAATAAATAATTAAAACTTTGACCAAACTCAGAAAAGAGGAGAGCTTCCTTAACCTGATAAAGTTCATCTAAAAAAAGCCACAAGAGTATGTATCATAATCAATGATGATTCTTTGTAAGCATTCGTATAAAATACTGGAATAAAACTGATATCACGATCAGTATTAAATTTAAGTCAGAGGTTCTATTCAATGCAAAAAAAACGAATAACAAAGGCAATAACAAAAGATTAGAAAAGATGAAAATAAATTTGGGTTTTCTGGATGGAGAATCCAAAAAAAGGTGTTTTAACAAACATTGGAATTAATAAGATAATTCAGCAAAGTTGCTTATAGAAGATCAACATGCAAAACTGCTGCTTATGTCCTTATAGGAATAAAATGCCAATGAAGATAAACAAAATAGTCTGTGCTAACCACACTATGTAAGATTTAATATGTTCTAACTTTTTAAAAATATAGATACATCTACCTTGGATTGCCAGCAGCACTCAGAGGATCAAGCTTTATTCCAGCCCTAGTGATCCTAATTCTTTTGAGGAAGCATCATCTACCTGGTGAAAATGCCTCTTCAGAAACTGAGTTTGCAGAGACAAAGGTTACAGGGAAGGAAAATGAGTGCAAAGATATACATCAGAATTCCAAGCTTTTGAATGATGGTGAATTGAAAATTAAACTGTGACGTCTATTACATGGTCCTTTCCGGAGGTGGAGAACACACTATATGACTTAATTGTTTTAAAAATCAGTAGAGGTACTGCAGGTAACTTTTTTCTTATCTTTTAGAACTTCAAAAATGTATTTTTTTTACTGAAAGTAAAAATGTTCACTGATGGAATCAATAGCACTCATGATTTTCCCAGGAGGGACGTTTATAACAACTCTCTAACTAAGATGTTAGAGCCAGCTTTATTATTATGTTAAAACAGCAATTTCTTTTTTAACTCATGTAAAATAAGGGTGTATTTCCCACATCTCTTTTTCCAAATAGTTCTAAAATTTTCCTGTCGAGAAAGCCTACTTAATTCCACTGAACTTGTGCTTTGATACTGGCATCATTCAGAGCCTGAAATTGTCATTCTGCTTATGGGAACATTGACATATTTTATTCATATTTATCACTCTTATGTGAAAGAAGCCCACATTTTATTCTATTTAGAAATTGTTATTTAACTCCTCCTATTCATCCCAGACATGACTATTTTAAAATCGATTACTCATTCATATGTCATCTCTTGCTTTCAATTCTTTCTCTCCTTTATTACTCAGGTCATATATTTGCTCATTTTGTTCAGAGTACTGACAAATTGAATCGGCTTATTAATCATGTAGCAAAGATTGTTGGATTTTTTTTTTCTCCAGCAATTCAATTTTGGCTAATAAACTCTTTCTTGAAAACAAGTGTGTGAGTCAAAGGACAAAAGAACAATATCCGCAGAACTCCAGTCCTTGCAGGCTGTTTGAAGTGGCAAATATTGTCAAAGGACCACTTTCCCAGATTCAGGAGGCCTCTTTAGACTAATGTTTATGCCACCCATTGTGTCCTCAGAATATAAGCACTAATCGTCCAGAAGTCATCTTAGAGAATGAAACTTTTAAAAAGTAGCTTCTGTTATGAAACTGAAGTTAATAAATTCAAGACACATATAAAAAATTAAATCTACGCTTATTATTATTTTGTAACTTATGGATACAATCAAAGAATGAAAGGATTTTAGATGTATAATAGGCCGTACTGATAATATAGGACTTCTGCTTCAAGAGAGTAGAATAGACAGACGTATTTCTGTTTGTCTATTCCTTATTCTCTCTCCCATGGAAATTACAGTCAATATACAAAAATGAAATAAATCCCTAATGGTAAAGAGAATGTGGGAGAAGAGGGTGTCGATATACTATGGTCATTTTTGTGTAATATAAAGGGAATGAAGGTATGTGCAGAAATAGAACAGAGTGGGGAAAGCTATAATCCAGAATTCACTTAGAAGAAGTGTGAAATGTAGGTGGCAGACCCTGAGTTGAAGGTTCAGAGAGCATAAGTTGGTAGCTAGACAGAAAACAGGCCAGTTTATCAAAGGACTTTCTATACATACAGATACAGGCCAGTATAATTTCCTGAATGATTGGATGTGTCATAAAAAGAAAGCAACTGAGTTGAGAAAGACTGGGTAAAACATGTTTGGGGGAAGGATTAAGAGTTAAGTTTTAGGCTCTTGAAATTTGAAACTTCATCTCTGGGTGTATTAAAAATAACCAAGATTCAAGACAGAGGTAGTGTTGAAACGTGGAAAAGAGGAGTGTAACTTTGGAGTAGGTATGACTGCAACTATGAGGTATACCAAGTATTACAGTCTGATGACATGAAATTTGGAGCTGCTATTTTGTTGGGGGATGATGTGGGAGCTAAAATGAGAGCAAGGACTTACCCTATATCCAGAGACTTGAGAGTAAAAGTAAATAGCCACTGCATGAGAAGGTTTCATGGGAAGCAGATTTTGCCTAGTGTGCATTGGTGAGGACAATGCTCATTTATGAATTTGAAGATATAGAGGGCTTTGGTGATGATGGAGTGCAAGCTCCAAAGGACGAAGTGAAAGTGGAGAGATTTCAGGCACCAGAGTCTGGGAGGAAAAGTAGAGAAGAGGAGGTATATGGAGACTAGACTTACAGAAACTAGAAGGAGAAAGAGAGATAACACAGAACTCTGGGGCTTTTTAGTTGACATAAACAAGAGCAAAGGACATACTAAGATAGTTCTGATGGGTTCAAGGCAGATAGTGTTGGTGACACTGGGAATGTAAAAATTGGGAAGAGTGGTAACTAGGCTCCCTTGCAGCCCCTTGTCATGAAGGCAAACTGGAGAAGTAGAAAGTTATTTGTGCACACGTGGCCCCTTCTTGACCTCTACTGATGAGTTTGAGGGGATCAGAGAAAGCTGAGTCTTGCTCTGTGCACAATTCACCCACCTAAATCCCTCAGTGGAGTATCACAGGCCAGAGAGAAATGGTTGTGGAGTCAGTGCCTTGGGTTCACTCTTATCCCCTCATGGGGAAAATTGGCATTTTACTGTGAGAGCACAGGGTTCTCTCCTGACACTTCTTGGTGGGGGAAATCAGGTCAGAGAAAGTGAATACTGGAGTGCTTTGGGATCCCTCATGACCTCTGTCACTGGCACCCATGAGGCCTGAGGAGGTCAGTTGTTATTTTCAGCACTCGCACTACTGTCATGAGAGTACAGATGGTGGCATAACAGGCAGACGTGGAGAAGAGCAATGAGAGAACAGGTAGCAAGAAGGCTAATTTTCTGATTTAATACCGTGGGGAGTCTAAAGTTAATGAAATTAGAAATAGTGGTTTAATATATTATTTGTAATTCTAAATATAGCCAATATTTACAGGAACATTAAAAATTAGCTTTTAAAAACACCAAAATCAAGAAAAGAAATGTAGAAGGAAGGAGAGGGAGTAACTATTGCTCATATTTTATAGCATGTAGTTAAAGTGTGTTTAAAACTTAATAAATGAAGATTTAATGGTATACATATATTAGCATTATGGAATTTACTACCAGAAGAACTAAAAACAAAATTGCTTGAAAGTGGTTGCCTCTGGGGAGGATCAAAGAACAACACATTTGTCTTTCATTTGAGTTCCTTATTTATTTATTTATTTAATTTTTGCCTCATACAGATAAAACATAATTAAAAATAATGTTTTAGGGCCGGCCCGGTGGCACACTGCTACAGTGCGCCACTTGGGAAGTGCGGTGGCGCTCCCGCCGAGGGTTCGGATCCCACATACAGACCGGCCGCTCACTGGCTGAGTGAGGTGCGGGTGCAACACCGAGGGTTGCGATCCCGTTGCCGGTCCCGGTCCGGTGCGGGCGCAACACTGAGGGTTGCGATCCGTTGGCGGTCACGAAAAAAGAGACAAAAAGGAAAAATAATAATAATAATAATAATGTTTTATAAAAAATTACACATTGGTAAAAGCAACAACAATAATAAAATAAATAAGGTAATGCATTTTACAGCAGGAGAAGGAACTGAGTCCCCAAACTGTAAGAATTGTAGAGAATCTCCAATGGATGTTTATGGAGCAATTGTTCTCTCATTTCTGTAGTTAGTTCTAGAGGATATGTGTGTTGGTATGTGAAGGGGTTGGTAACTAACTAAGTTGTAGGCCATAGAACTCAAGTAGAATTCAAGGTGGTGTCATTTTACTATGGTAAGTAAACATGTGCAGAAAACAATTACAGAACAACAAATAAAAGTACCAGGTAATTTTAAACACTGTGGATATGTGGTGAGTCACTAAGTAATCACAGTTTTTTGCATAAGTTTGCAATGCAGGTCTTGGTGGGAAATGATGACTCCAGATTCATGAAGACAAAAAAAAACAAAACAAAACAGAAACAGTCCTTATTGAGGGAATAATAAAAGCAAATGTAAGAATCTTTCCTTTGTTGCTGGCTACTGTTACAGTTTAGGCCAATGAGGTAGTGGCAGATGCTTGCTAATTAGGAAGGGATTTATTTCTGAAATAAAAAGACGCATTTTTCTGAGAAGACATTTTGCCCTTTTTCCTTCTTCCTTACTAAACAGTGGATATTAGGTCTCCAGGAGCCGCAGCCATCTTGCAACGAGGAGGACTAGGGTAGGGATGAGAGACAACGCAGGAATGATGGGGGATCTGGGAGACAGCTGGAGGCTGGCTACCTGATGAAGGGCTGGACACAAGCACCAGCAGGGGCAGGGCTAAGTTTTGTGGAGTTTTAAGCTTACAAAATTTGAAGGAAGGCCTATATAAGACAAAAGTTCAAAATTATAAATATAAAATGAGGTTTTATTTATTTATTTATTTATTTATTTTTCTTTTTGTCTTTTTTCGTGTCCGGCAACGGATCACAACCCTCAGTGTTGCACCCGTACCGGACTGGGACTGGCAACGGGATCGCAACCCTCGGTGTTAAAATGAGGTTTTAAAGCAATTATTTACTTAGGATGAGAAAAAATGACAACAAATTCTATGTGATATGCTTCAGGATACAATTATGATTAACAACAACAACAACAACAAAACTCTACAGCAAACATTATAAGTTAAATGGAAAATATTAAAAACTTTCCTGTTGACAATGTCAAGAGTTAGAAGATAATGTCTATTATCATCATTTCTATTTGATATATTACTGGATGTCCCCACCAGGGAAAGAGGGGAAGAAAAAGAGTTAAAATTTGTTAGAATAAGAAAAGAAAAAATAAAATGTCAATGATATGTCGTGTATGTAGAAAATCCATAAGTTACTGCAGATAAACTATTAAAATCAATCAGTTAATTTTAATAAGTCAACTGGATTCAAGGGCAACATACAAAATCAAATGTAGTTTTTTTATATATCAGTAATAACTAGAAAATATTAGTGTAGTATCAAAAAAACCCCACATTGAAATTAAAGGAATAAACCTTATAACAGATGTACAAAATCTCTACCCCTAAACCGTAAAACATTATTCAGAGACAGAAACTGGCGGACTAGAAGACCATACCACTCATCACTCCCACAAACACAGACAAAACAATAAATAAACAACTACATTTGGGTAAAAATGATTGAAAGAGAGAGTTTGAATATGTCAAAAGAGTAACGTAATGTCAAAAGAGACCCTGGTGAACACAGAAACTCAGGATAGCCACGTAGAGAACAGAGGGGAGCACCAGCCGCCATCACCCCATTCCCCAGCCAGTGTCAGCTGGGAACCAGGAGGAACTTCTCCCTGTGGGGAAAAGATAAGTGAGAGGACCCCAGCAGCTCTCGCCAACACCTTGGACACCTATAGTCTTCACTGTTGGGCACTCCATCAGTCCTCACAAGCAATGAGAAAGCGGCCAGGAGTCCACATTGTTTTGCTTCCCTGAGAGGAGTCAACATTGTGCCCAACCCTCTGTGGCACTTGAGGCTACTACTGTGCTACACCATCTTGGAACTCAAAATACTTTCTCTATGAAACTTACTCTGTAAAGTTTGAAAGAAGCAATTGTTCCACTCAATGCACAGACATGAGTGCAGGGACATAAGAAACATGAAAAGTAAGGAAATATAACACCACCAAAGGAACACAATAACACACCAGTGGTTGTGTGGTCAAGATGGCAGAATAGACAGTCCCCAGCATCACTCTCTCCTACAAATCAACCAATTTACAACTATAAAAAAACAGCAACAGCCAAGCCGGGGCCACTAGAGCTCAGGGGAAGAGTAGGAGGGACCTATGGAGTGTATGAAGGTGGGAGAAGCCACGATGAGAGAAAGAAAAAACTGCTGCTTTAAGTCTGTAGCTGCTGAGCACATGGGGTAGGAGATGGCAAAAGCCACAGCTGTGCCCTTCAGATGAAGTTGC